ACGTAAGCTAAAAAAAATTATGGCATTGTGTACAGCAAAATTGGTCGGTATCTCGACTGCATCTACCACGTATGCATTTTTGCGAAGAAACTGGCTTGAAACAGTAATTCATTACGTTTTTTTTCTGTCCAAATGAACAAGCGCTTAAAATGACAGAAGGCCTCACATTTATATGATGAGAACCTGACAAATTTATTGATTAGGACTGGGTAGTTCAACGATTTCCAGGTTAGACGCGAGATTTTGTTCCGTGATTTTTTTCCAGGCACATTCATCGCGAACTAACTCGAATGAGAAGGTGGATCCGGAGGAATAAATTATTTGGCAGCAATTATTCGAAGTAGATCAGTCGTCTTTCCTTGGCATCACATGATTCCAGCTAAGCGATCACGTACCAAAATAAAAGAGTCAAAGCGCTCAATACCCATGATGAAATATTACTAACGGGGAAAGCTATCGATACGATTTCAGGTACACAGCTGACAATTATCCAGGATGAACAGTGATATTCTCCACGTCAAATTCTACGTGAAGTCAAACACGGGAGACCAGATTTTTATCTCAACTCGATCTTCTCCTATTTTGAGAGCCGTCATTCTCGACGCAAGCCTCCAGCACACACATTTCTAAAAATTCGACAAAGTCAAAGGGGTTATAATCGTCGTAGGAAATAAAATTGGGTGTCTGTCTCAGAACGCCACACGCAGAATATACCGCCTTTCAAAAATAATTTTGCTCGTTATCTCCGACAGAAGGGGGGGGGGGGTTCCTAACAATGTAAGGCAAGCAATCTACATCCTTCACCCACGGAGACCTCATCCGTCATGCGATCCTCATATATACTGTACAGCACGTACAGTACATTATATACTAGACCGGTACTCCCGTTGCTGGACGGGAATTCCCCCGGATATCCCTGGGAAAACGCGCGCCCGTCAATAATGCTCGGGGGTCGCACGTTCGGAGGAAGATAAGCAGCGAACCGCAAACGACGTCCTGACGCACCGTGAAGATGAAGAGAAAAAAAAGACAAAAAGAGAGAGAGAGAGAGAACCCCTTGTAAAATTTTTAATACTACCCCTATCACAAAAAGCATATAGCGAACAAGAGGTTACGGGACAACTCGCGACAGCGAAAACTCGAATAATTTTCTTTTCGTTTCTTATCTTGACTTGTAGGTGCTGAACGAGTCCTTGAAGACATGACACTGGTGATGCATGCCTTTTTTCTTCTGACGAATTTTGCTTTACTGTTTTCGCAAAGTTTATTTATCTTCTGATACATTTTTTCTTCGCATTATTTCAACACCAAATCATGCTTCTTTAGTGCCATTTCTACACAGACTCATTCAACACTTCGTCAGATATCAATCGTGTTGAACATGTCAAAGCTAGTTCACTGTTGCATCATTTTCTCGGTCACGTGGTTGAGGAAAATAAGAAGACATAAATCGATTGATTTGGAAAAAATAATCAGCCAAGATTTATTTGAATCGTCGCATTTCGTGGGTTTTCGGGGAATCCAAACGAGAAATTAAAGAAAATGAGCGTACTGTTCACGAAAGAAAAATGATGGCGAGCTCAGCAATCGCTTTGTCCCGGTGTTTCATTTATAAATTCCACCTTGACCTTGACATTGTCACGTGATTGCAATCATCTAATGAATTATTTTAACGCAGACGGTCACGAAGAATGAAAACGGCGAGTGCAGGTGCTGGTTTTTTTTTGCTCGTCTACGCAAAACATGAAAAAAAAAAACTCGTGGCATTTTCTTATCTTGTGGCAATACAAAAATGGAAAAACGTTTCCCTTGGTGCAGCAAGGATTTATGCATAAAATATTCAAGAAACTGCAAAGATTTAAGTTCATTCTCTGCAACTTGGTCAACGTTCTTCGACATGATGGAAGTTTTCAAGAAAGTTTTCCGCCATGCTTTTTCATGAAATGCAAAACGCTGCACACACGATTTGAGAAAGGATGACTGCGTTTGCGTTTAGCAGCACAAAACCATGGACAATCAGAACTGTCAGTACTTCTGAAGGAAAATTCAAAATATTATCATCCCCGAGGTAAAGCCAAGCAAAACACTCGCAGAAGCCATAGAACCGGTGCCGTGTTTTTTCTTCGCTCGTTGAGCCTTGAATGGCAAGGAAAAGCATTCAGCGCAATCTCGCATTTCTCAACTTGAATGAAAGCACCAATTTAAATTCCAACTGCTCGAAAAAAAACAAAGAACGCCTCTTATCTTGATTCAAGTGTTTCGAATCCATCCCTCTTCCCAGAAGTTAGGATCAGACGTCGCCAGCTGAGTTCCAGCTGCCATATACAACGCGATACCATTCAGCTGCGTTCTCTCTCTCAACACAGATCAAAATAAGCACTCGAGGAGTTTCTATGGACTCAAGTACAGAGACACTCTGCCCAAAAAAAAAATAAACATAGATGCATGCAAAAAATAAAATTAAAAGAGAGACTCCCGTCATCCTCTCTGGATTCAAAAATGATTCCACCATATTTACTGGTATCTCGGGGAAAAGAAAGCTTAATTCGATCTCCCATTTTTTTTTGGCCAGTGTCCAACCCTAGAAACGGACAAGGGATAAATAGAATTGGCATCAGAAAATCACTCAAGCGTCCAACTGACTTCGTCGGCGGAACACAAGGCTCGACTGTTGATACTGCACATCCCGGGATTCGTGCGAATAAAAAATAATGGCTCGAAACATAATACAATACAGTACTGCACTTCATATTTTGAGGCATTTGAGGTTATGTCTGGTTCACGGGAAGTCGGAAAAATACAGAAAAAACTCGATTGACTTTTTTTTATAATTCCGTCGATCGTTTTTAAGTTCTTCTTTAGCGTATGGAAACATAATTCACAAAGTTTCGCAACTATTCTAGTCATAATGCAGCTCCTGCACTCAACATAATCAAAAAAATTGGCTCAAAGTCACGCATGAATGGAGCAGGAAAAAGAAAAATGTACGCAAGACAAATATTTTTGCATCTTGAGTTTTTTAGCTCGAAAACTCGGATGAGAAACACTTTAAAATCAGAAGGATAATTAAAAATCCGTCATTTATCTTCATTCGATCATCGGATGATTTAACATACAGTATTTAACATTTGCATACCGTATTTATTTTACATTGCTCTTTCAAATGTTGAACTTCGCGCAGATATCACACAATCCTGAAATCTTTGCACATGTCAGCTTTTCAATACGATTTTTTTTTTGCATGAGTGATCAAGAAATGGGAACAGAAACTACGCAATAATTTTTCTAGAATTACTCCAAAAAATGCAGTCATTCTCCGAGGCAACCGATCTTCAGAACGGTTCCGAATATTTTGTGAAGAAGATCAAGAATCGATTAAATTTTGACGAAATTTTAAAGCTCCTATAGCCATTGAAATATGCAGGCTCAGGACTTCCAAAAACGCGAGAAAACTTTCAGCTGACTTGAATTAATCTTAAATAGCACCCATCAACGCGTGAAAAGGCTCAGAAAAATTCGGACTCGAGAAGCCATAACGCTACGATTCCTATATATAGCAATATTTTCTTCAAAAATGTACGTCAGGTCATCCTAGAGGAAGAAACCCATCATAGCCGGGGGGAAAAAAGTTCCACTTTTGTAAACGGCTTTAGTGGCATTACACCACAATGTATAGTTAAATAAACCAAAGGGAGAATCCGAAACTCCATACGGAAACCCTTTCGTGTCATTTTCACGGGAATTCTAGAGAAGCAATACATCTGCGGAATTGCAAGCTTTCTCTCAAAAAAGATAATCACTCCCAGCGTAATACGGTAATTCCAAGGCAAAGTGATGCAAAAAAAAGCAAAATGTTGAGCGTGTTTCAACCCGTTCCTGACAAATGGAAATAAGAAAACAGCTTGGATTTCAAAGAGCCGCTCAAAAAAAAAAACGAAAATCTTTTCGAACAACGTCACATTTTCACAAAATGAGTGCCAATAACTAGGTCGTAAATTTAGCGGACGGGTTTAAAGCGGAAAAGCTCCTCAGACCCGTAAAACATCACGCGCACATTGCAGCTTATACGCATTTCGGAAGCAATTGTTTCCATAACATGAAACTCTGCTTTCTGACGGGTAAATCGTGCAAAATGGATGGAAACCCATGTTCCACGGTGGTCTCCAGCACAAACACGATAAATTTTTTCGCGGGAAGCTTGAAATATATTTTCAACACGAGATAGAGTCGTAATTTCATCTTGATTTCGCTTTTGTTTTGCCTATTACGTCACACTGTGCGAGCAGAATTCAACTGAACAAACACGGGGTATTTTGCTGAAGGTGAATTTCCGGAGTAAGCTTTCAAAATTTACCAAAAATACTTTCCCGAGAATGTCGTGGTGACCCTCGAAGATAAGCTTGTCGAATCACATTCCTCGGAAAAAAGTCTCAGGACGCTAGGATATGAGTCAATGGTTTAAATTTAAAACCAGCTCTAAAACGTTTAAAAAAACATTGCTGAAAAATTCGCGACAAAAAAACAGTTCAGTTTACAGTTTGCCGATTTTGAAGCATCACTAATAAGACTACATTCACAACCGACTGAATGCAGTCAACTAGGTTGGCAGGAGCTAAAAACTAACCCAGATTCCTTTCAACATTGAAAGACGAACGAAATTTGAATAATGTCGAAGGAGTGAAATAAAGAATTTGATCTTTCTTGAAATGTATGATCAGGGAAATTCCAAAAAACGCAACCTTCTTTCAATCGATCGATTGAAAAAATTAAAAAGATAAAATCAAATATAAAGGTTTTGATTATTGGACCACCCAAGTTTTTGGAAAAAAATTTTCTCAAAGAAGGCTGATGGGAATCTGAATGACCTCTCCAAAGCAGGCTGAAATCTGCCAGAAATTATTGACGAAACCTCAGTCGCTTCCGCGTTCTTGTCGTCCACAACGTAAATCTCGCCCATACATTGCCACATAACTTATTAGAGCTCTCCCAAAGAACTTCTTTTACAAAGTCGCTTTCTCGTTCGCAGTTCGAAGGATCCTCGGATCCCCTCCAAGAAAAAAAAGGAGCGCGGGGTCTCCTCCCATATGCAAGACAACAAGCGCAGGGAAATACTGTATACAAAGAATTGTACTCACGTCTGCAGGCCGGACAGCTGGGCATGGAGTAGCCATTCTGCAAATGGCCGACGTCGCCTCGGTACGCCGCCATGCCGCTGTTCATCACAGCTCTACACCCTCCGCCACTCGACACCCCGTTGGCGTGTTGGCGCCGCTGGGAAAACGCCGGCGGTCGAACAATGCCCGCCGACTCGTAATCCGAGTGTCGGTGGTGCGACGACGCCAACTGCTGCTGTTTGCTCACGTGCTCCGCAAAGGCAGTGGCTTGTCGAACAAACCGACGCGTCGACAGCAACTCGTCCTCCAGCGAAGCGGATGCGTTCAGGCCGCCGTTCCGGTGGCGGCTCGAGAAAGTCGGCGGTTTCGAGGACCGGGAGATTGACGAGACGAGGCGACAGTCGGACGGCTCGTCGTTGACGTGCGACCCGGAAGAAGGATGCTGGTGCTTGTTAGCGTCGGTCGCCGAACCACTGGACTGGTGTTGGGCTCCGTTCAGCTTAAGCCGGAGTAGGTCGTCCTGAACGGACTGCAAATCCGCTTCCAGCTGCTCCGACGCATGCTTCTTCTCGTCCACCATCTTCTTGAACTTTCCCTGATAACAAAGCAGAGGAAAAAAAAACAGGGAAACTTGAATTAAACATTTAACGACAGAGCAATATTTTGAGAAGTCAAAAGAAATCGAAGCATCAAAATTACAAATGAAAGCCTCGAATTTCGTCGTCCCAACAAGGGAGAGCAGACCTGAGAGGAGCTACATTTTCCCGCCACCAAAATCCGCCCTTGTCTTCGCCATCCTACCCAACAAATGAACCCACATTTCTAGAAGAATTCTCTGATAACCCTGAAGTTTCATACATGGATCTAATTAAGTGTTCCCAAACCTCCTTGAGCCCATGGACAGGCAAACTTCCATAAAAAAAAATGTCGCGGACCGGCAAAGTCCCCAAAAATTGTCTGCGGACTCAATAAGGTTTTGCTTGAAAGACGTTATGGAACATATTTAAAAAGTTTCTGTTTTTTGTTGAAAAATTCAAGAACCAATGAAGCAGCTATATAGTGAAATATCTCGAAAAAAAAAATTAAAAGGTGGCCTTGAAGAAATATTCGTCAGACTGAAAAATTAAAATGATCAGTTTTAGCAGGTGAAAATTTGTCTTAAGTGTTCGGAGAAAAGCCAACTTTTATAATTTCATCAGATAATTTCAATTGCCATTGTCTTCCCGAAATTTTGGATAAAGATAAAATATTTCATTGGTACTTTTGATAATTTTATTGTGCTGCAGAAAATTTCCCTGGACCACGGGTTGGGGAACATTGTGATTCTAATCAATGTGATTCATAAAAAGTATGCACAATCATTCCGTTTATCCGATTCGGAGTCGTGTGGAACTAAGGCTTTGTGAGCCTCAAGAGCATCAACCCTGGAAAAAGAGAATGTGTTGCATTTTCAAAAGCTAATTGAATATCACATGTCCATGCCTCTGCTACCAATAACAAAATTAATTTTACACAATGGAAATATTTTTTTTGAAAAGAAATGAATGATCTTTCATTTCATTGGAATTTGCATTTTTACTTGATTGTTCAAACAACTCAGAACTCAGAAGACGTGAGAGACTTGGAAAATCGTTCCTTTTTGCCCACCACGATCGTATAAGCATCAATTCAATCGCAAGATTCGCATTTTGTGTCTTGAGATCTTTTCAACTTCCACCGACTGAATTCGATAATCTATACTTCTATAGAGCCATAGAAGCGAAATAGATTCAATAAAAGAAAATCAAATCAGGATTCATTCAATTCGGGTTATTTTCACGAAAACCGAACTGAAGCGAGAAAATGTTTGGAGACGCAAGGATTTATGGTAGGCATTTTCAATGATACTTCCGGAGAAAGGAACCCATCAGACGCAATCCGAGCTTCCAGAACTTCATCTACCACCTGAATTGAATTATTCAGCCAGTTTTTTCATTTCTTTCTGAAAGAAAAAATACCTACAACGGGACTCGTCTTGTTTTTTACTCCACTGGCAAATTGATGACACGAGACAAGTACGGTAGAACGGTACACTATTTTAGAATGATGTTCTTTACTGAAGTCACCTCGTCTAGTGTGTCCATCTGATGTGTATTTCGTGAGTTCCAGAAGAATAAAAAAAAATCAAATTAGTTGGAACCAAAACTTATTTTGTTTTTCAGATGTACGCTTGGGTCTACAACATCACGTGTACCTTTGGCCCCAGAGAAGCAAAAAAGGTACAGACAATGAAACTGAAAATGGGATTCCGCTGCTTTGACGTCCATGGCATCGAAATACCTCATCCGCATTTCTCACCGAGAAAAATTCTAAAATCATAGAATGGTTCAATTCTTCAAGTACATTCTAGGTAATCTAGGCCATGGCATCAATTTCACCGTATTTCAGAAATTAACGAGTCGTGTTGACTCTAATAAGAACACATTCACTTCCTTCTTGAGCCGCAATAGAAAAACTGTCCCTTTTCGGAGTAATCAGTCTATTTCCATATTATTACATTTTTATTTCTCAAGATTTCTGATGGGTGGAAAACGTGCCCTTTCAGAGTATCGGTTCATTCGTTTCTTTCCAACAGCACTTCAGAACGATCTTTTGACTCGAGAAACGTCTGAACGAAGGTTATTCTGGATTTCGATTCATCTTCATCAATAGGCATTCAAAAATAAGACGCTTCGCACTGCATTGAATAGTGCAATGAAGTACAGCATAGTGAATGACGACGCGTTCTCCTAAAAACCCCAGGGGCATGCGGGTTTGAATTGGACTTCACTTGCGCTTCCGTGGTGCGAGAAACTTCGCTTTGAATGTCTCCAGAACACTTCAGTAAGATAAGGTTAAGAATAAAAGCCCTATTCAACGTACTGGCAAAAGAGCAACATTTGCTCACAAAATGCGTTCCGTTCCCGTCGAGGGTGCGTCGAGAAGTTTACTTCGAAATGAGGGTTTATTGTTGACCAATAAACTTTTAAAAATTCCAAATTTATTTTCAGTTTCTGTGCATCGAAAAATTAAATCGTAGGCCTGGGGGTCAACGCTTTTAGTTATTTTCCGATTACAAAGCTATGTTACTTCAAGCTCTCAGCATATTTTCAAGAAAAAGCTTTCCTAGATAACATGACTCTAGGGAAGAATTTAGAAAACTGGAAATGAAGAAACCCAACGTTCTTCTTTTTTTTTTAACAGTACTCATACGAAAGTTATTACAGTATTATGTTACAATCGAAATTAGCAATTTCTCCGCGAAGTTGCTGACGTTTTTTTTTTTAATAATTCCGACAGATTTTTCCGCAGTGAGAGAACTTATCAAAGTTTTCTATGGAGTACTGAATTGAAGTTTTTAAAAATAACAAAATCGATCCGGATTATAGGGGCAGATAATTAAAAAAAACTGAATTTGGCGTTTAGCCAAAAATAAGACTAAGTTTTTTTTTAGATAGGCGAAAATTTTGTTTTGAGATCAAATAAATAAAATTTATAAATTGCTACGTAATCTGAACTTGCATGTTGAACGGCTTCTAAGCAGGAAATATTTTCTTTAGAATCTCACGGGCTGAGGCAACAGAACTTCATTAGCGAAAGCATTTCAAAGGGAGAGGAAGTTTGTTGAGAAAAATAGGCTCAAAAATTCTGGAATGTCTAGAGAGAAACATTTTTGGCTACAGGGCTCATTTCCGGGGCACAATTTCAATTCATAGCGGTTCCTAAGAATAGTGCGTGTGATTCTCAACGAGAGGATCTTCCTTCTGGCGAAAAAAACGGTATAAAAAATGACCTCGTCAAAATCGTGCGAGTTCAGGAAAACGCGATTAACAGAATATCCAATCCAATGCGTCTCATCAATGTGTTTTTTCAGTTTAACGTGAATGCATGTCACGTCCTACTTGTGCTCGTCAGAATTTCTCAGTGCAAAAGCACACGAAAAAAAAACTACAAAAAAGTAATGCAAGAGGATCCCGCAGTCATATCTTTATAAGACTGACTGATGACAAGGGATCCACATTTTCTCGCTCGACATTTTCCACAAATTCTTTGTTCCGTAACGAGCCAACTCCGGGCCAAGTGGGAGCCCTGTGACCCGCAGCACGAAACACGGAATGACAGCAGAGCACATTCGGCCCATTAGCAGCAAAAAAAAAAAACCCCTCCCCCTGGAAGAAGAAACCCCGAAAAGAGGACTTTTCTTTTTCTTTCAACACTTACTTCCGCGGCAAACAGTGTCCCGCCATAAGAAACGACGGACTTATGTGCGAAAACCTGGGTACCACTTACATGATGCTTGAGACCACATCGCCATCACGTCACCACGAGCTGCCGCCATCATGAAAAGTCCTCACTCGCACTGCGTTTCACGGATCACAGCAATCGAAGGCCATTCACTTCACAATTCGATACAAACAACACCAACAAAATCCATCAAGAGAACGAAGGAAATGAGTTCCCTTTTCGTACGCTCCGAAAAATAACAAAAATGCGCAACAAAAGACCCCGAGAAAACTTGGCGTTGGAGCAAGGCGAATGAGTAAAGGACTATATGACGCAGAATCACTCAAAGCCACTCGATACCGCTTGAAAAATTGGAACAAACCCCGAATTTGCTCAGGCACACGAAAATGTAACGGAGAAAACTTGTTTCCTTCGATACAGGGAGAAAAGTTGAAACTTCTGAGAAAGCTGCGCTCGTTCTACGAGGAATGGAAATTGGGGCAAACTTCGCTCGCCCTCCGTTTCTAGAAGAGATTTCGTTTTTGCATAAGGAAAAACCGAAACACCTGCGCTTTCAATAATATCTACGAACATGTGTTTTGAGATTTATGCACTTTCGTGTTCAATTAAAAAAATTGTGACACATTCAATCATGAAACTATTCTCATCTAAAATCCCAGTCCGAAGGTATTTTCCAATACGCGAATACAGTACTGCAGTTTTCACACGAACAAAATATAATAATGTAATAAGAAGTAGTACTTCAATAGGAAAACATCAGTAACAGAAGACATACTCGATTTAAAAAAAAGGTTTCTCTTTGCTATTGCTTCGAAATGGACGTTAGAAAGTGATCCCTCTCCTCCAAGAATAGCAACCAATTAATATCATCCGTATTTCGCATAAATATCTCGCCTACTTGAATTAGTTAGCTTCTGATCTAATCGTTAAAAAAATTTTCATAAGAAAACCTCCCCTGTCAAACCATTCACCGTTCAAACACACCAATCGTAATCCATTCACTTCCTTCTCCTCTCTTGATATTGTTATCGTTTTAATAAACCAACTTGACCTCATTTTTGAAATAAATAGAAACAATTTACCTGCATTCCTTTCATAGAAACACGATCGTTCTATCGAAACTGTCGTCCGAACGGAAATCAAACGTGTCGAAAATATTTTTCGTTCGCATTTCAAAGTCACCGTGGAGAATCGAAAGGAGGAGACAACCAAAGACCATTTAAATATTCAGAATACTGTACCTATATAACCACGGTTTACAATTTCAAAAGCTAAATCCCTCGACTCGGAAAAAGTAATTTCAAAAAATTACAGCTCAAATTGTCCACACTCCAGTGCGCATTACTAACCTAAGAACAATAGTTCACTTAAGGGTCAAAACGACGGACATTTCCACTCGGAACATCGCAAATTAATCCTCGCTCGATTCCGCCAAAGCTTCCAAATGCGTAGAAGGAAATAAAAAAGGAACAAAAAAATAAATAAAATTCTGTTGCTCCATTCCAAATATATAAATACATTATATTCCTAGCCAGCACCACCGCATTGATTAGAGCACGGAATAAGTAAATCAAATCCATAGCGATAAAACCGCTCACAAGATGACTGATTATAGGATTTAATATCGCTCCATCGTCAAGTCAACTGCACCCGGGATATTCCGCCTCAAAATCGACAAATCCGCACGAGAAGAAGAAGACCTCGCAGCAGGAAAACCCCGATGAGTCACGCCCGGCGGAAAATTGCACAACATTTCGTGTCCCCTTCGCCACCGCCCCCCCCCCCCCCCCAAAAAAAAAGAAATGAAAAAGGAGAGAAACCCGGAACAAGATCCCAAAAAGCAACCCCCCCCCCCTATACAGAAGGGGTCCCTTGCTTGCCCAGCCATGTAGAGGGCAGCCGGCCCTCAGATAACAACCCCTGGAATCGGCAAACACCGACCGGCGACGGCAGCCCACTGGCTCGAAGGTTTTCGTATATACAGTCGCAACAACGACGCGGCCGACACCGACACACGCGAGTGGTGATGCCAACAGCAGCAGCAGGTCGGTATATTGTACTTCCCTTGTTGGACAATAACAGCCGGTTTCTTCTCTTGTACAGACCGTCCGTTCGAGGAGAAGAAGAGTGCAGAAAACTTGGCAGAGAGCGAGCGAGGAAGAAAGAATGAAAGAAAACAAAAAAGAAAAAATTTGCCACGTTTTCTCGTATGCTACAGTAGTAAAGTGCTCCAGTAAAATCTCGTTACAATAAACGTTTTGGACACTTCAGACAAATTTCGTTATACCGTACTGAATTATTTGTTATAACGAGATTTTTTTTTAAATTATCGACTAGAAAAATTTTTTGAATCAGACCTGCCTATATACTCAATTGGATCTTGCTCTTCTGGCATTCTCAGATTTTTAAATTGATGTTTGAAAAAACTGGATGATCTTCTGGAAAAGAAATCAACTTCAATCATGAATTCCATCATCGGTTATATACCAATCTCTCCATTATTCTGGGAGGATCATGTGAAAATCTCTCCATTCTGTGAGGATGTTGTGTGGAAGCATTTTTGCCATTTATTACAGCTTCCATTCATGCTACAGTATAAAAACCAGTACGTCGCATTTGAGATCGGACATTTCAGACTGTGCCTGCCTTAGTCAAGAAATGTTCACCTGCTGGAGAATCTATTGAATATTACTTTAAAACGTTTGTTGTACAGTACTAGGATTGGGAAGTTTATTATATCGAGATTCTTTTAACATGCACTCTATGCAGTCTATGGGCTTTCTGCCGGTACTTGAGAAAAAGTTTGCTAGACTGCACTGAAAATTTTTTTAAATGGTACTTTCTTGTAATGAGATTTTATCTTACTGCATTTTTTCAGAAATCTGGGAAGAGGATCACGCCGGGAAAACTGCTTGTTTTATAAAGCCACTGTATCTTCCGTGTTTTCAGAAGGGTACTGGACGTGTGTTGTACAAAAAAGAAGCCTTTTACTTCCGCTTCCGTCTTCAAATAAATTTTTCATCGGGTTATTATTATTTCAAAATAAAGCTCAGTTTCAGAAAGAAATTTTCATCAGATGAATAAACTTCAACACAGATCTCGCCCTGCAAAATCGTCCCTCAACATAGAAACCACGACTTTTGGAATTTATATCACAATACAGTATACTGTATACTGTATACCTTCATTTATTTTTTCGTTGTCGTTAAACCTAATTGTGCCAAGATTATGGTTAAGGGAGAACGACTGAGGAAAACTGCGGGTACTGTGTAGCCACAATCTATACGAGTTTTCCGGAAGGAATGTGTGTCATAAACAAGAAGCACCGCAGTATTATATCTGTCTTTAAACAACCTGCAGCCGTTTCTGTTGGGATGTTTACAGACACAGTAGTTCAGTCACGAACTAGGATTTGAACCACAAGGCTGCCAACTTTCCAAAAAATGCGCGTCCGAAAGTTATCCCGAAAGAAATTGTCGAGAAATTTGCCGCACTTCGAATTACTGTGAAATCAGGATTACTTCGCAAGGATGATAAAATAATATACATGATTGAAGATGAAAATAGTGAAATACAGAAAATTTTCGAAAGAAAGATCTGATTTTTATATCACCGAAATGTCCAGAAATCTGGAACACATTTCGCACACGCCGTCGTGAACTTGACTTGAAAAAGATTTCCAATTCGTGGGGTTTTGCTTCTTACGAGATCATATTTTATTCTTTTCGGTATCGTTTTCAAGCTTAACGATGCTTAAGATAGTGATATTCATTTTTCGTGCAATTTCATTTTAAATTCAGCAATCTAACGAAAGCCAAGCGGCTCGAATTTAAATTAAGCGAGGTCACTTTCGTTTAATCAACTCTGAATTTGAAAAAGTTATGGATTCTTTGCAAGCGAGGCTCGAAGTCAACTTTCCAGCAGTTAAAGTGGAGTAAATTTTGTTTGTCTTCGAGGACTTAATGTCATGACAAGCATGGTTAAAAAAAGAAACACAATCTTACATGACATTGAGACCGATTTAAATATCTTTTATTATGTAACATCATCGAGAAGATAATTGAGCTTCTGTCACCGTTGTTCCTGAGACACATTCAAACACAAGGTATCCTACTCTTAAAATGATTATCTCACAAAGGCGATGCATTTCAAGCCATATTTCAGCATATAATTTCCTTCATTTTTGCCTTGATACAGAGGTGCAGATTTTTTTAAATTTCAAATAATTATTGATTCAAAGGGTTACCGTGAGAAGTTCCAAATTTAAAAACACTTTAAATCCAGCGTTCATTTTTCTCCCTTAATTTGCAGAACAGAATTCTATTGAATTGCTCGTTGTGAACGTTGAAAAATTATATTTCGCGAACGCGGATTCGCAGAACTGAAAAATATATGACTGATAGTTGATGAAAAAAGTATCCTGAAGCGGAACATTGGAAATCAAGCTTTCTCGATAAAACAAAGTGTAATTATTTTTTAATCGCCGTTCGGGACACTAACTCCACTACCCATTTCCCGCTATTCAATACTTACAGAAGATCGAGAAAGAAGTAATTTACGTATGGTACAATATATGAGTTTTTACGCCTCAGAACCCAGTCTTATGCCTCCGATGGCCCGGATGATAAAACTGAACGGGACTCGAGGAATATCCGAGCGACAGTTCGGGGACTATCGAGTCCCACTTTTCTTTCCTTTGCCAGTACAGTACAGTACTTGAGGTCGCCAATCGTGCCTACACACAAGCCAAATGATCCTCGAAACGACCCAGTTAACGGATGCAACAAATTTGCATTTTTGCAAAGGAAGCGACCTGGGAATAAATGTCTTTGACATTTGTCTTTTGCGTCGTTCCCGGGGAAGTACCCGGTACCTGAACGGGGGTCTCGAGGAACGTAGACCACTCGAAAGCTCTCAAAATCCCCAGTTACGACGAAACTGGGAGGGTTTCTCGTAAAATCCTATTTTTCAGCATGGAAAATTATTCATTACTAGATTAGTCCATGTACAGTACTTGCGGATTCTGTCATTAAACGCCAAGACCACACAGCAAAGTACTGTACAGTACAACTTCGATTAGCCGTGCCTAAACTGCGTGGCGTTCAGAAGAAAAGAAGCAGACTTCTTAATTGTCCTCAGATCGATATGAATTTTACACGGATATTTTAGAAAACT